CGCGCCTGTAATTCCAGCTACTCGGAAAGCTGAGGTGGAAGGATCGCCAGAGCCCGGCAGGTTGAGGCTGTGGTGGCCGGGAGCGGACACTGCACTCCTGTCTGGGCGACAGAGTGAGACTCCAACTCAAAAAAAAAAAAAAAATTAATTAAAATAAAATAAAATAAAAAAATAGAGATAAGGCACGTTGATTTGTCCTTACCAAGTTTAGAGCAGCAAAAGGCACCAAAGCCTGCCCTAACCCTTTCAACTCCTCTGAAAGTCCCCCCAAAATTTGCTTCCTTGCCCCATCATCCCCCCAAGTCCCCACATCAGTTTCTTCTTCATCACCATCCTCATCACCACTCCAATTGATTGAGTTCTTACTCCATAGCAGACACCCAACCTTATGAGGCAGGTTCTGCTGCCCTCCCATTTTACAGATGAGGAAACTGAAGTACCCTGGGCAGAGGAAGAAGAGGGAAGACATCTCTTTGCAGCACTCTGTCTGGAAAGGGTGGAAAGACTTCTGATACCCGAGGCACCAATCATGCTAGCTTTGCCAATAATTAAAAAAAAAAAAATGGTAACCAGCCATGCTCCTCCCTTGCCTTCCCCAAGGAGCAGAATTTCTGGGAAGGTCCTTGTTCCCATGACATGACTGGATTCCCAGTACTGAAGTGGGGGGGGGGGAATATTTGCTGCGTTGACTAAAAATTAACCCAGCCTGCCTGTTCTCTAACCCTGTCCCAGAGGGACCCAGAGCCCAGTTTAGGGACTGCCTGTCCAAACATTAATCTCCCTGCTGTCCACTCCCCCAGATTCCATGAGTCGAGGGTCAGTACCAAGATGCAAACTTGTGAACTTCTAACTCACAGGCCCCTCCCCCATCTCTGGTGGCCTCAGGGGTGTTAATCCACAACCTGGCGTCTGGGGGGGTGGCTGGTGACAGAAGGGGGAGACCTGTCTCTGGGCAAACAGAAGGCAGCTGAACCATTGCAGGCCAAGGCAGGGTGTGTACCAAGTGGCCACCTCCCCCAGTCACCTGCAGGAGCTCAGCCCCACAAGGAAAAGACAGATACGCTTTACCAAGCCATTCCCAAGTCTTGGGACCTAGGAGGCATGATGGCCTACTGACTGTGTCAGGTTAAAGAGGACAGCAGGGGTAGAAGCACAATCTTGGTCATTTGACCTCATCACAAACCCTGCAGGGCTGCAGCACAACCCTAGGGGGTGCTGTTCACACGGTACAGTGTAGCCCAGGCATGGCAGGGGGGCACTTCTGTGATGACTAGGAGGTGAGAGGGAATGGGCACAGCTTGCCCAGTAGGTTTCCCCAGGGTCCTCCAGGCATCCCCTTTTCCCTCTCCAGATACCTGCATACATGGGCAGAGGATGAGGCAGGAGGGAAAGGGAAGAGCATTAGGGACCTGAGCTCTGTTATCCAAAGGAGACCGAAAGCCACCCCATGACAAGACACTTCTTGAAGCCAGTTTACATTGTGTCTAGGACCTCCCAAAGCCCCGGGGGGTCAGGATGGGGTGTTCCCACCCCCAGAGGAAAAGACCTTTGGAAGGCTCTTTTGTCTTGTGTTCAAATTGGTGAGAGAGGAGAAAGCTACCAATCATCCTTATCTGGTGCCAGGTACCCTCTGGCTGCTGCAGGATGGAGAGTCAAAGAGAAAGTGGTTCCACTGTACCCAGGGAGCCCAAGGGCTCAGCCCTCATGCCAAGTCTCAGTACCCCTCCTCTCCCACTACCCTTGGCCTCTCTGTCCCCAGGACCCCTCCTTCCCAGATGTGCTGGGTGCCAGGCTGGCATTTCTCCTAGACTGTTTTCTGCTGATCCATCTCTTGCTGCCCAGGGGCAGGAAGGGCAGAGAGGCCCGAGGCCCAGACCCCTGGGGTCCACCTCCTTCCTGTTTTCCCTGCATCCTGCTCTCCTCCGCTGACAAGCTGCAGAGGATTGAGGAAGTGGAGGGTCTGGGACCCAGGACAGGAAGCTCGGGGCTGCAGTCCCAGCATCCGGAATGCAACAATGGGAGCTTCAAGCACCAGGAAAAGAGACAGAGACAGACACAGAGGCGCAGGGAGAGGAAACCAGAATCAGAGAGGGAATGAGAAACCGAGACAGACAGAGACACAGAAAGGTGGAGGGAGGTTCCAAAAGTAACAGAAAGACAGAAACAGTGACAGAGACACAGAGAGGCAGAGCAGCAGAGAGCGGGAGGAGAGCGAGAGGGTCCGGGCGACAGAAACAAAACAAAATAAGGCAGAGAACGGCAGAAACTGGTCACGGCGGAAAATATTGGGAAAAGAAAACTCCAGAACGTTACTAGTAAAACTAGAGGTTGAGAAACAAAACAGGAAAGATCAAAAGAACCAGAGAAAGAAGGACTGAGATTGAGAGTCTAAGGAGACACTGAGAATGGCTCATGAGAACTGGAAAAAGAGAAAGTGTGTGCACCAGGCCTAGGCAAAGGGCCTCTAGGAGTTTGCCTGTGTGTGCTCCTCCCCCCCCCCCCCCCCATTCCCTGTCCCACGCCCCTGAGGTTTCTGCAGCTCCAGGCTGGGAGCCAAGGCTTTTCCACCACCCCAAACGGCACCTGCCAGGACGAAGGGCCAGGGTGCCTGTATACCAGGGCAGGCAGAGGTGCCCAGGCCCAGCGGAGAGGCCCCTGTCTTCCCGCTGCCTCTCAAACAGCCAGGTGAGCTGGCTCCGGGTTTTGGGGAAGGGCCAGCCTGGCGCCCATCATCACCAAAGTTCCTTGATCACTGGCCGACGTGAAAAGTCCAGGCCCTGGCTTCCCAGGCCCCTGGGGTTTCACCGGGGCCAGGGTGAGGGGTGGGCCCTGGATGACCAGGAACAGAGAGCTGCCCACATACAGTCCACTCCCCTCCCTCCAGTTCTTTGGCCCTCGACGGCTGACTTGACTGGACCAGGTCACTTAATTCGCCACTCTTGCACCAGCAACCAGGCCTACCCTGGAGACTTCCTTCACAAACGGGAGGTCTGAAATGGAGGGATGGGACGGAGTCCCCCTTGACGGCGGCCACAGGCTGCTAGGGGCTCAGGAGCGGTGTCCTGGGCTGAGCCCGTCCCGTGCGAGTCCGGCCTTGCCACGTACCTGCTGGCTCCTCGACTCACGGGGGATTTTCAAAGGCCTCCCAGGGCGGCCGAATGGGGAAAGAGACGCTGGGAAGGGGGCGCACTCGGGAGGGCGCGGGAGGCCAGGGGTGCCTTACCAGAGGGCTGCAGGCTTTCCTGGATGGCCTCGATCTCCGCCAGCTCCATGCACACGCCTTGCCCGTGCATCAGCGTGTGCAGGGGCTTCTCCACCCCCCGGGGCGGGTAGCAGCGCAGGCCCGAGCCGCAGCGGGGGGTGTACACCCCGCAGGGCATCCCCAAACCCAGGGCGCAAGTGGCGCAACAGCCGCAGCCAGGCTCCCGCACCAGCTCCTCGCAGCCCACCGGGGGGCGGCAGCGCGCCAGCTTCTCCTCGGAGCAGGGCGGGCAG